TTGTCCTCATCTTTGTCCCCATATTTATTACAACGTTTCGGCCGTTGTACGCTCCGGAATGTCGAACTGAACCCTTTATTTTGCTCACTGAGGTAGACTGTTCTAGTTCCACGTGCCATGTTTTTAATGTATGTCAGTTATCAGTTACCTCCTGTTAATTTCCCTCTGAAATTTCTCCACTGGGTATTGAACTCATACTCTTTGGGTCCTGTCACTGGATCTAACCAACGCCTTTATCCACTGTGCCATGCTTCCTTGAGATAAAGGGTTCAGTTCGACATTCCAACCACCTGAAGAAGGCCGGAGCGTATAATGGCCGAAACGTTGTAATAAATATGGCGACAAAGATGAGGACAATAGTGCGAATAATGTAAATAACGGATACCTGTCGTCATCAATTTCATCAAACGAAATATGTTGAAACAACCAACACTTCAACTCAATCATATAAATGGAGTCTATCAGTTTGGTGAAATAAACATCAAGAGAGGATTATTTCAAGGTAATTATTTGTTTCCTTTACTATTTGATATATCCCTAATAACATTAACCAGCGAACTTAACAGAACGGAATATGGCTATAAGATATCTCAAAAGAAAACAAGCCATCTATTTTACATGGATGAATTAAAGTTGTATGCTCGGAATGACAGTGAGTAGCAATGTCTCCTGAAAACAGTCAAATGTTTTAGTGATGACACTGGAATGGAATTCGGCTTGGATAAATTTGCTAAAGTCATAATTTTACGAAGATCACAACAACCTCCTAGATTAGACCAGGGGTTTTCAAACTTTTTGACTTGCGGACCCCTTTATATTTCAGTTTTTACCTTAGGGACCCTCTTATAAACGCTTATGAAATTTATCCATAAATATTTGCTGAATATAACATATAATTTTGCATTAATGCAATAAAAGCTGGTTTAAAGCTTATTTTAGACATAAGTGTTCAAATAAATTAATGCTGCATGTTGCTGCAAAATGTAACAAAATTAAATTTTGTTATATTAAAATATTAATTTTACATGTAAATGAAAACAGTAATAGTATTGAACAAATAGTTTTATTGTCAATTACACACACAGGATTTTTTAATACACACTTAGTGGGAAGGATGTGCTTGCTTAGCTTTGCACAAACTGTCAATTCTTGGTGATATTACTGATAAACATACACGTAAGTCACTTTCTGGAGCAAGTCTTGATCTATATTGGTTTTTCAGATTGGTTAGTGCAGAAAATCCTGCTTCGTATAAATATGTTGTTGCAAATGGTAACAAAATCTTAACTGCCTTTCGAGATAACAATGGATACTTGGAGGCTACAGTGAGCCAGAATTTCGAAAGTTGTTGCTGCATAAAACTATCTTCTCCTTGCGGACCCCTGGCTTAGACCCTGGGGTAACAATCAAAGATTTAGAGAAAGAAGAAGCTTATAAGTACTTCGGTGTAAGTGAGGGTGAAGGAATTCACGATAAAAATGGAAGAAATAGTGCGAAAAGAGTACTGTAAAAGGGTGCGACTGATATTAAGAACCGAATTGGATTCTCAGAACAGAATTATGGCCATTAATACTGTGACACTATTTAGGTTGCTAGAAAGAAAGGCGAGAATTAAATTTAGGTGATAAGAAGCCATCACGAAAAGGACACTAAGCGATGTTATTCTTTTTAACAAAGAAAAATGCTAAAGGTTTTATTCTCATTAGCGAGGAAAGTAAGGTCGCGGATGTGTCGGATTTAATTTAATTTATGACGACGCACCGAATAAGATATATCCAATCTGCCCATGGCAATGGTAAAAATTTCAAGTTGGACAAGCGACCTCCCGCAGAGTGCCCTTGTTCGGACCCGACTTGCATTACGGCCCGGCGACTGATTGATTTCGTCTACCTAAGATCAAATCACAACGTAGGTAGGTTAGACTAGAAATCAAAGCAGTTACTTCGGTAACCAGACGTTGGAGGCGAGCTGGGAACGACAAGGCTGATACCGAATCTAACCAGATTCCCATCCGAATCAGCAAAAGGTTAGAACGTCACAATACCTTTGTCACCCCAAAGGTTCAATATAGTTTCAGCATCTTGAACTGGACTCTAACTCTGGATCAGACGACTGGATTCTAAGTCAAGAAAGATTCTTTCTAAGCATAACATGCAAACTGATGCAAACCTTGTATAGATACCCCGTAAAAAGCTGGAAATGGTCTTATTCAGCTAGAATTGTCATAGAAGACGATAACTATTGTCTTACTAACAGAGATGGAAACAACAAATGAGTGGATGATACAATTAGTCAAACACGAAAACAGAAAGAAAAAAATATTCAATCATGAAAGAAGGTTGTAAATACAAACGAGATTTACATTTAGTAGATTCCGTAGAAAACCAAAACAGAACCGAAGAACCAACTGTTGCACCAAAAAAAGATGAAAAGAAAGCCAAGGATAAAGCTCTTGAAAAGATGAAACAACGTTGGCAAGACAAACCTCTGTATGGCCATTATCCACAAAGTGCTTATAAAGCCGAAGTTAATAAATTGAATACTCATCGATGGTTACGACTATCTGGATTAAAACGGAAAGCTTTATTCTTGCAGCGCAAGACCAGAGTCTTTTCACTAGAAACTTTCAGGTTTTGTGACAAATATCAGGAAAATATAGATCATCTAATCTCAGGATGTTCTGTACTTGCGTCAAATGAATATAGAAATCGTCACGACAGAGTAGGGCAATACTTACACTGGACAATGTGCAAAAACTAATAAAAGATGTTAATACACGCTGTTATGAAGCCTATAAGAACCTAGGTATTAGCGAAGGAGAAGTCAAGAAAATAGTACGACAGGCGTGTACGTCTGGTACTAAATACCGAGCTAAACTCAAAAAACAGAATATCAGCCATAAACACCTTGGCTGTCCCTGTGGTGAAATACAGCTTTAATGTCCCTAACTGGACCATAACTGAAATTAAGCGAATGGACGCCAAAACGAGAAAGCTTCCCACTTGCTACCGCATGCATCATCCCAAATCTGATGCTGATCGTCTGTATGTAGCAAAGGATTAGTTCAACTAGAACAAAACTACAAAATTTGGCCTTCAAAGATACTTGGAAACTACAGAAGACTGGAGGATGGTATATGTCAAAGAACATGAAAGTAGTAAGCGTCTTTACTCTGTAAAAGACAACAAATTCAAAATAGAGTTTCAAATGGTCTCCGAAATACAAGTAAAGCACAATACACCGGCTGAAGCTGCAAAATACTTAAAAAAAAGAGAGCAAAGACAAATGCAACCGACCAGATACAGAAACAATGGCAAGATAAACCGCTTCATGGCCAATACTGTGCCTGTACCAAACAAGCTGACATAGACAAAACCCGTACCCATCAGTGGCTACGTAGTGCAGGGTTGAAAGCTGAAACTGAAGGTTTTATCCTTGCTCCACAGGACCAATGCTTGCTAACTAGGAATTATCAAGCACATATACTAAAATATTGTGTCAGCCCAAAATGCAGATTCTGTAATAAATATCCAGAAACAATTGATCATCTTGTATCAGGTTGCACGATATTGGCACCCACTGAATATAAAACCCGGCATGACAGAGTGGGCCAATATCTGCACTGTTAAATATGCAACTTCTACAGGAAGGAAACTGAAAGAAACTGGTATGAACACTACCCAGACCCGGTTACGGAGATAGGACCTGTTACAATTCTATGCGACTACTCAATACCCACTGACAGAACAATCAAATCCAACCGCCCAGACATTGTTATTAAAGACCACAAACAAAAAAGTGCCTCCTTATTGATATGGCAGTCCCTGCTGACTGCAATGTATCTTTGAGAATATTCAAAAAGCTGTCAAAATACAAGGACCTTGAAATAGAAATCTCAAAAATGTGGCACATGGGGACATCAACAATCCCTGTTGTAGTTGGAGCTCTAGGATTGGTTGGAAAAGATTCCAGTAAACTTATTGAAGGGATTCCTTGAAGTCCATGCCTCAAAGAAATATAAAAAATTGTTCTCACAAGTACATCCCACACTTTACGAAGGGCTTTATCTATGTAATTTTTTTTTGTCAGTGGAAAGTGTCATGATGCCATTTCTAACCTTAGGTCTCTGGGCGGGACCCGGAAAGAAATGTGCAAACGCCAGAAATAAAAGGAAATAAAAAAGATAATAATACAACACGTGGACAAGAACGCAATTTAACAAAAGAAAAAGAAATGATACAATTTTTAAACATAACTTGAAGAAGACAGACGTACTACGGAAATATTGTTGAACATTGTGAAACACTGTCTTCTTTTCTTTTTCTTTTCTGTTTCTTTTCTTAAATCTAGCTCTTCTCTAAGTGTTGAAAAATATTGGAAGAGTTGCGTAAATCATTTTGTTTGTTTAATAATAATAATAATAATAATAATAAAATTCAACATAATGTTATTTCATACATATTTGGCTTGTTTGTCTTGCAAAACTGATTGCAAAAAAATGCTGATCTGGATCACATTTATGTACACGTGAATCAGTGTATGTGTGCGCATTCCTCATTCTTTCCATATTTTTCATATATAAATTAATTCCAAGATAAACAAAGCTTTTTCCATCCAACTGAGAAAAAAATGCATGTTGTAGGATGGAATATAAAACAAAGCAATATGCATCTATTTCTTAAAGGAAATAAAAATGATGGAGACAAATTTGTCATTTCTTTACACGAAGTCAGCCTGAAGCAAATTGCCAGTTTTAAACGATCAAAAAATTCCTTTCTTGGATCTAATGGCCATTTACATTGGCCAGATACCACAAGGCAAAATTGACTTATGACCCAACTTCACCGTCACATATTGTATATCGTGTTGTTAATATCAAAGTAACACTGACATAAGAAACAATTTACTTTATTAAAACAGAGACGATCACTGGTATCAATAAGGTAAACCGGCGAAGACATTTAGGATTTTCATTTGAAAACTTTCTGGATTAAAAATAGGATATCCACTTTTGTTTGTTTGTTTGTTTCTTTCTTTCTTTTTTTTTTCTTTCTTTCTTTCTTTCTTTCTTTCTTATTCACTCTTTTCGTCTTAAAACATGTTTTCTTTCTTTCTGTCTTTCTTTTATTAATTAATGTATTCTTTCTTTATCCTATTTATGAGAGGATCCTTTCTCTCTTTCTTTCTTTCTTTCTTTAATTTATTTATTTATTAAAGTATTCTTTTGCCCTCTCTTTGATTTATTAAATGATTTTTTTCGTTCTCCTATTTATTAAAGTTTCTTTCTTTCTTTCTTTTATTTAATAAAGGATACTTTCTTTCTTTCTTTCTTTTATTTAATAAAGGATACTTTCTTTCTTTCTTTCTTTCAATTTATGATTTGTCTATTCTTTTTAAAACTAATTTCGTTCTCAAAATGCTTATTTTTTTATCAAATTTTTTTATTTACATTTTAAACATTTCTTAAAAAAACATTTTTATTTCTAAAGAACCGGGCGGAAATGATCTCCAATTAGGATTCCTCAGCCGAAAATCAAATTTATATTGATTCTAAGAGATATTGATTTTTTTAGTTCAAAACGATAACTATCGATTAGTGCGCTGAAAACGTGCAAACAAAGACAGAAATCATAAAAAGTAGAAGCTTAGTCTCTGGGGATCCGTCATCCAGACAGTACCCATTCTTGACAATAAAACTGGTAATGCCAGTGGGTATGCAGTGCATAGCAATATTCACTAAAAGTGGAATTTTCCTCTAATCTAGATACAAATCTACGCGTGTTCTCACGTTTAAGAAACCTGTGACGCATTTCTTCAACATAAATGACATAAAAATAAATGAGAGCAGCTTAAGCAAATTTATAAGTATTGTCACATGAAAACAACATGATTTGTTATGATTAAGAAATTATTTAATATGTTCAAAATGCTCCCCTTCATATTCAATACAACGATAAACCCTATCAGCAACACTTCTGCAAAACATTTGACACATTTTTACATTAATTTCATAAAGTTCATCAGAAATTGTTTGTTTTAATTCAGGGACTGTTTTCGGTTTTCAGCCTGTAAACAAGATCTTTCTATACACCCCACAAGAAAATGTTTTATTAGCTGGTGATAGTGATGGTCACTCAATTGCTTCACGTCATCCTACTCACCTCAACTTGAAATTAAGATTTGACCATTCCCGAACGGGTAAGCCAGAGTTAATTTTAAGCCATCTGAAACTACTGTAATATATTTTTTGCTCAATGTTTAGGTTTAGTTTTTCCTTCCGCTTGTGCTGTTAGGCGTCGTAGGGAGACACAGTCGTCTGTCGGTGGCAAGGCGAGTGGCCTGGACGATATCTACTGTGTTCTGAGTTGCTCAAGCGTCTTGTTCTGCCTCTCACTCTCCACCCAGAGTACCTGAGGGTGCATGCTTGTAGGGCTGGTTGGTTGATAGGTATACGAGTGAGGTGTCCGAAACACTTGATCCTCTGTCGTTCGATATGTTGTATGATTGGTATTGCTCCTACCATATCTCTTATTGCATCATTCCTGATATTGTCTCGCCTTGTCTTGTTCATTGTTTTCCTTAGGCATTTCATCTCACAAGAGATCAGTTTCCTCTCAAGGGTTTTTGTTAGGGGCCATGTCTGGCACTGTTGGCAGGAAAATGGCGTTGATTAGATTTGCCTTGGTGCTCATGGAAATACTAGGATGTTTTAGAAGAGGAGCAAGTTGGTAACTGACTGCGTTGGCTTTCTGATACCTGGTCTCGATTTCTCTGTCTAGTTTGTCGTTTTTAGTAAATATGTTGCCCAGATATTTGAATTCACTGGTTTGATTTAGCTGGGTCCCATTGATGTTATCTCCACTTTTCTGGTCTCTTGCTGACGGTTTTTTTCTCAATAAAAGTTAATAAATAAAAAAAGTTCGTAAATAAATAACTTTAAACTCACGAAATCAATATAAGGTTATTGCTGAAACTTTATTCTTTTGTAAAATGTGAATAAGGATGGCGCACGAGTAAGTTTTTTGAGAATAAAAGTTTGGGATCAGTGAGTGGGGGTAAATGTGTAAGTTTAGAGAGAAACGACTTAACTTTTGACTGAAAAAATAAATAAATAAAAACAAACAAAAGTGTGAGATATTCTGCGAGAAAAAGAAAGAAAATTAAAAAAAAAGAAAAACATGAATTTGGAAAATTACACCATCTGCTGCTAGATAATGTAGGTTCAGCTTGAAAATTAAACTGCATCAGCCATTGGATAGCTGCAACGTTTTGTAATCAATCCAATGGAAAATCCATTTACGTTTGTCATCGACCATTGTCGTCTGCTGATCGATCGTTCGGACAGTTATATGATGGCGGCAAGAGAACGCTAAACTCCCCTCTGGTCAAAACATGGCAAAAATAACGGAACTTTGTCTTCTTCTTCATTTATTCAGTGAAAAGACAGCGCTGATGAGACCGGCCACGTTTCCATTGTAAATGGCGAGGCGCCTAGATTTCAATTAAATTATCGTTTCATCCTGTCGGGGCTACTGAATAAAGTGTAATGATATCAAAATATCAACCGATTCACGTGAATTCACGTAAAAGTCTTGTCTCCAAATAGCCTGTAAGGTCTTCCTTTAATTGCCGGGTCGATAATTGTTAGTAGTTTTCAATTTTACCTATTACTCCATTGTCAGTGATATCTTTGACTGGTACCTCAGTAGCATTAAAACATTCAATGAATCCTGTAACAATGTCTATTATTATTAACATTCATTAGTAGTTATTATAGTGACTGCAATTCTTTTAGTATATAACATTCCTTTACACACGCACACACACACAGGCACACACACACACACACAGGCACACACACGTGAAATAAATGGATTAAAAATAATCCGACATCATTTCTTAGACTTGGTTGCACTTGAATGAATAGTGGTCATTTATTCTTGACAGGCACATATTACCGTATTTGACGGCATATAAGACGCACGGGTGTATAAGACGCACCCCAATTTCAGCAGGGCAAATCAAGAAAAAATTGGTAAATAGTAAAATTAGTAAACCTACATATGGCATATAAGACGCAGGGGAATTTTAAAAGATGTTTTTAGTAAATAAAAGTGCGTTTTATATACCGTCAAATACGGTGGTTGTTTATACCTTATACCAGTGTTTCTCAAGCATTTTTTTTTAATTCAGGGCGCACTTGTAGAATAACTAAATCTCTGGGGCGCACTTTAAATTTTAATAAGGAAAAATAAGTCATGAAATTTGCAAAATAATAAAATCTGAAATAGCCATTTATTTGTGAAGACATTACATCGTATGTTTAAGCGTTAGAGTTTTCATTGAAATAGATTTATGAAGAATTTGCTATTTTTCTTTTAGGAAAGACCGATAATAACTGATTTAAATCCGTCGAGGAAGGCAAAAGGCAAAGGATTATCCATTCCTTCTTAAAGATGAAGGCATTTCGCACCCAATTCAAAATACCAAATAACAAAGACTTGACTTAGACATGTGCTCGGTGTCTCAAGCTTTTTGAAAATAGTTTTTTTTTTATATAAAAATAATTAAAAAAAATACTGTTAACTTGGTGCACATCTGGTTACCTTTCAGAGCACACTAATGCACCTGGGCGCACCGTTTAAGTAACACTGCCTTAGCCTATAGGTAATTATTAGTCCTTTATACTTGAGTCTATCGGTAAATAATGGTCGTTCATACTTGAGTCTATAGGTAAATATTCGTTTATATTTTTAGTCTCTCGAGAAATGTGGATCGCTTATAATCTATAAATCTATAGGTAAATAGTTGTCGTTTATACTTTAGTCAATAACTATTTTTTATGGATCGAGGATAGATACATTTTGATTATTAAACTTGTCTCTATAGGTAAATATTAATTACATCTACTTGGATCCATAGGTAGATATAAATCGTTTATAAATGAGTCGTTAGGCAAATATTGGTGGTTTATACTTGAGTCTATCAGTAAGTAATGATTGTTTATACTTGAGTCAATAAGTAAATACAAATAGTTTATACTTGAGATTATAGGTAAACATTGGTCGTTTTTAATTTATTTTATTGCTAAATAATGATATTTTATACTTGAGTCTGTAAGTAAATAATGAACGTTTATTTACTTTGTTCGATAATTGATAAATTTTGGTCTTTAACTTGAATCTATTGATTGCTTCTACTTGAATCCATAGGTAAATATTAATCGTTTATTTTGGGATGTCTAAGTAAATAATCTCCTTATAGTTGAAGAGGGGATTTGAACCAACAGAAATATGGTTCTACAGAAAGATGCTGAGGATACCATGGCCCGAACATGTGAGCAATGACAAGGTTTTTGAGAGAATGGAAACAAAAAGGAAACTTATACTTAACATCAGGAAGAGGCAGTTGAAATTTCTGGGGCACATAATGAGGAAGGAGGGCTTGGAAAATCTGATACTCACAGGACAGATTAAGGGAAAGAGGGACAAAGGAAAGAAGCGCGTAACACACTTGGTGAGCTTGAGTAAATGGATGGAAGAACCGGGTTTGGGAGAAATAACAAAAAGATAAAACTTATTAAGCGCTACAGGGAACAGGCAGATGTGGAGGACGATGATCGCCTACAACCTGAAGGGATAATACTTAGTACATGAACAACACATATAAGATTCGCCAGCGGCGCGTAAAAGAAGTAGTGAACTGCTAGAAGTGAGTCAAGTGAATTGCACAATCAATCTCCAACCGCAGGTTATCTACCAACCGCCCCACGCTGTCAGATGTGGCACAAGGCCGAATTTAATGTGGGGTATCCGAGTCCGTAAGCTTGGCCAAAAATTCCCGGTAGACCCTGTATAAAACTGGGCCGGGTAGCTGTTTCCCGAGACGAGATTCTGCTCTTCGACATAGCCTCGTCTGGGGATCCTCTCTGTCCGGAGGCAGAGAGTTTGACCAGCACAGCTGGAGACGAATCTCCAACTGCAGGAAACATACAGTATTTAGTACTGTACTTATGTGAATGGGGACATTATCGTCCTTAGGTATGCTACAACAATAATAATAGCTCATACTTCAGTACATCGGTAACTATAAGTCATCTATACTTGAGTCTATAGTTAAATGTTACTCTATTATATGTGAGTCTGTAAACATATTTGGTAGGTCATTCCTTTTGTCGGAGTCTTATTCCTCTGCAAGCGGCGGTGATGTCGTCAATCTGTCAGAATTGCAGGTTATCGGTAAAGTTAATTTATGGCAAACTGAAAATTTCAGTCCAGATCTCCAATGGGTTATTTTTGCGCCTTGAAATATTACTGTCCTTTTCGCGGAGGATTAAATCTTATTGGAAAAAAATCCCAACTTAATTACGTTTGTAACTGCCGTTTGAGTTTTAAAATTTCTCGCCTGGAAAAAGAGTGCATGAAAATCTTTGTTCTTAATGTCTTTCTTTTTTCTTTTTTTTAAATGCCCAATTAAGATATTAAAGAAGAAAGTTAATTGAAGATCAGACCCGTTTTTAATTACTGACTCTATCCTTTAATAATTAATCACTTTTTATTGGTCCATTATTTCACAATGTAGCGCTTCCCTTTCTTGGATTCGACTCCGACTGAAAAGAAAGACTGAGTATTCTTTCTTTATTCAGATTATGATATTCTACAGATTTTTAAACTCATTTCTTTAATTCATTTCACAAAATGGTTATTTTTCAGTCTTTTCTTTTTTCATTTAAAAATGTGATTCATTCTATGCTTTTTATTTAGTTGTTCTCTTTCGCTTTCTTTCTGTTTTTTGCTTTTTTTATTGATATGCTCACTTTCTTTCTGTATATGCCTTTTATATATTTGCTCTCCTCATTCCTTCTATTTTCTTCTTTCTTTCTTTCTTTCTGTATATGCCTTTTATATATTTTCTCTCTTCATTTCTTATATTTTCTTCTTTCTTTCTTTCTTTCTTTCTTTCTTTCTTTCTGTATATGCCTTTTATATATTTTCTCTCTTCATTTCTTATATTTTCTTCTTTCTTTCTTTCTTTCTTTCTTTCTTTCTTTCTTTCTTTCTTTTCTTTCTGTATATGCCTTTTATATATTTGCTTCCTCATTCCTTTATTTTCTTCTTTCTTTTCTTTCTGTATATGCCTTTTATATATTTGCTCTCTCTTCATTTCTTATATTTTCTTCTTTCTTTTCTTTCTTTATTTTCTTTTATTTTTTTCTTTCTATGCCTTTTTATATATTTGCTCTTCTTTTCCTTTTATTTTCTTTTTTCTTTTCTTTCTTTCTTTCTTTCTTTCTATGCCTTTTATATATTTGCTCTCTTCATTCCTTTTATTTTCTTCTTTCTTTCTTTCTTTCTTTCTTTCTTTCTTTCTTTTTCTTTCTTTCTTTCAACTTACATGTTCTATTCATCTTAAAGTTCCTTTCTTTAATTTATTTCTTAAAATAATATTCTCCCCTTCCTTCTCTTTTAAAGATTTCTTTCTTTCTTTTTTTCTTTCTTCCTTTCAACCTATGATATATTCATACCCATTTTAGATCTCCTTTAATTTATTTCTTAAAATGATTATTTAATTTTCTGTCCTCCTTTTGTTTCTTTTAAAGATTTATTTTTCTTTCTTTCTTTCTGTCTTTCTTTCTTTCTTTCTGTCTTTCTTTCTTTCTTTCTTTCTTTTATGTCTTTTATATATTTGCTCTCTTCATTCTTTCAATTTTCTTTCTTTCTATTTTTTTAACTTTCTTTCTTTCTTTTCTTTCTTTCTTTCTTTCTTTCTTTCTGTATATGCCCTTTATATATTTTCTCTCTTCATTCCTTTTCTTTTCTTTTTTCTTTCCTTTTTTTAACGTTCTTTCTTTCTTTCTTTGTATGTCTTTTATATATTTGCTCTTTTTCTTTTTTATATATTTGCTCTCTTTCTTTTTCCTTTCTTTCTTTCAACTAATGACAGGTTCAAAAAATATTAAAGTTCTTTTATTTCTCAAAATAATTTTCTCTCGCTCCTTGTCTCTTTTCTTTCTTTCCTTCTTTCTTTCTTTCGTTATATGTACTTTTATACGTTTGCTCGGCTCATTCTATTTTTCTTTGCCCTTTTATTTATTTTTCGTTCTTTTTCCCTTTTTTTTTTTACCTTTTTGTTTCTGCATTAGATATTTGCGCTCTTCTTTCATTCTTTCTTTCTTTCTTTCTATGTCTTTTATATATTTGCTTTCTTTCTTTCTTTCTTTCGTTGCTCTTTTATTTATTTATTCATTTACTCTCTTTCTTTTTTCTTTCATTGATTTTCCTTCATTTCTTTCTTTCTGTAAATATATTCCTTTATATATTTACCCTCTTCTATTTTGTTTGTTTCTTTCTTTGCTCTTTTACTATTCATTTTTTTGCCCTTTTTCTATCGTTCTTTCACTTTCTTTCTTTTTTCTTTCTGTATATGTCCTATTATATATTTACTCTCTTCTTTTTTCTTTTTTTCTTTTTTCTTTCTTTGCTTTTTTATTTTCACAATTCTTTTCCTTTCATTCTTTATTCCATTCTTCCTTGAAATGATAATTTTGTTTTCTTATACTATTCGAAACTTTCTAACGTTAGAATAATCACATGTACCTCGATATAGACAGATTTCTTTCCCTCGTCACCTTATTAAAAATATTTTTTACTCCATTGGATAAGACGCAGGAGAACGTTTGCTTTAACTTGTGATTTCGCTGTCGTTTGAAAACGACCATTTGCTGATGGGAAATGAGTCATAACACCAGAGATAAGATTAAACATGCATATCTCCATTATTGCTACACTATATATAAACTCTTTAGATAGTGTTTACCACTCCGCTCCTCTTTGGAGATTGCTTCTTTCATTTAAAATCAGGTTATAACTTTAGGGGCTCTTTTAAGTTCGAGTCAACTTTATTCTGTTAGGTCATGCGAAACAAAATCTTTGATTTGACGAAGAGAAGTAATAGAAAGAACATGTAAGTTTGAGCTCATGCTGTTCCCATTTTAGCAACTATCTGCCTAGAGTAGCTCCCGGTTTTTGTACAGAATGAAAATCAATTTGAAAAAAAAAAAAATTATTCTATTATGCAGTCTTTGCTTTGTTTATAAGGAACATCCTTTGTTTATAAGGAACATTTGTAAATGCATCGTTAACTGATTGCTGACGTATTGACTACTGGAAAATTACACGCATTCATAAAGCAACGTAAATACTTGACTCTCTCGTTAAATAAACACATTTATACTTTTCTATCATACTAACGCAATTATTAATGTCGTATTGTAAAGAACAAAAACAAACTATTTTTGTGGGACTTTGTTTTGCGAAGATCTTTGTAATTCGTTTCTTTCAAATTGAAAGAAAACAAATACCCAATAATAAAAAGTTATTTAAATTTGTAGTGATTTATTTGAAGATTATTTATTTCTTCGCTTTCCGCACACTTATTCTTCTAGCCTAGGAGTCATCAAACGGGTCCGTGCGACCTACTAGGCGTCGGTGAGGAGTTATAGGATATCGATGATAGTGAAGAGGTCGAATGACACTGAGCTAAATTTTAGTAGTGTAAATGTATATTATATTCTTTGATGCAGATAAAAAGGCACAAAGCTCGATGACCAACAGAATCAAAAGCCTTAGTTACATCTATCCAACTAGCTTATAACACATTTTGATGAAACTTATTTAATGCTTCAGTGATCATTGCTTGCTGTTTCTTTTATCGTTCCACTTTGATTTTCAGATAACAATACCTTCTTTCAACCTATAACTATAAAATAGCGGTTATGCATTTCTGTTCAATAGCATCGGCTGTATTTGAGCTTCATATATTATATATATTATTTGCTTGATTCATTGGGGTTATTTAATATATTTTCTTAATATATTTTCTGGGGAAGATTCTGAACCTGATGAAGCTAGGGGGAAATTTTGAACCTGATCCAAATTTCTTAACTTTTCATACAATTCAGTTAACATTTTAATTGTCAACATCAATGCGAATTTTAAGGTTCAAAGATATTTTAAATGGGGGTCGATGGGGAAGGAAGAAAAACAAAAGGGAGTCTCTGGTCGAAAAAAGTTGATCTGTGGTGAATCTGCTCAACAGGGTCACCACAGATCAGCTCCTCTTAGAACATTGGTTCCAAATTCAGACGATTTGACATTTCATGACATTAATTATGTATATCCATTGGTCGGCCATTCAGTTGTGGACATAAGAATAGTTGTTTCATAGATTTGCTGATTTCAAAATTTACGCAGCAAAAACTTATTTAGAATTCTTTCAAAGATATGCCTGCACCAACAGACAAATTCGGTTTTTAGAGATACGTAGGCTCATAGGATTAAATTTGACTGATTTATTTGTTTTTTACGGCGTATTTACTTTTTACAGGTTATTCAAATCCAGGAAATATTTTTAGATTGTAAGAATTTTGGAGAAATACCTGTGATTTTGGTCACTGGGATGTATGATGTGATGTAATGGAAAACGACTCGAGATGAGAAATCTGTGAGCCGAGTTCGAATTCCAGCCCGGTTCGTTACATTTATTTAAGCGCAAATAACCTTGGGAAAGGTATGGTCCCCATCTCTTCTCTCCAAGATTATTGGTTGAATAGCAGGACAGATTGAGTCCTATAGCCTTGGTTGGCAACCAGTCTACTTGTTGTAGAGTAGTTTCACAGTGGAGGCTTGTATTTCACTAAGTCTGTCCTAAAATAGGTTCGACGTACAAAACCTTAAGAACTTGATATAATAGTTAATGACGTAGCAATCTAGTTGTGGTGGCTGATACTTTAATATCCGACTAACAGTCGTCCGACTGACTGACCAACTCCGCCCTGAGCGACTGCTACTACTCCTACTTATTATAGGCGGGAGAGTCTATTAACAATAGAATAGGTGTGTTCCACTATAACACTACTACAGAGAGAAACGACAGTCTATTACCGGAAAATATTCTGCCTAGTCAGTCATGAATCGAAAGAGACATGATCGTCCGAGTGTGTATCACGTAAGGCACTTAACTGACTGAGCTATTTTACTGATACAAGTACTACTGATTAACCCATAGATAGGGAGAGAAGGGGTGTATTCATAACTTGCCCGGGGGTATTTGCGTGTAAGTGAATATAAAGAAGCTAAATGAAATTGGAACGCTATTCTCCGATTTCAGTTCCGAGACGTCATCCATTACACCAGCCGCACATCCAAGACTACAGCACCAGATATTCCCAAGCGGTCACCCACCTAAGTACTGGACATGATCGAAGTTGCTTATTTTACGAGAACCGGCGCGTAAACAGTTTTTGATTCAGTTAAAGTTGATAAGTGAAGTTGGGCAGCTTCAACCCAAATATAGCAGCAATACTCCATTTTCAGTCTGTTCTGACTCTTGTAAAGATGGAGCATGGTAGGAGGAGTCTGGCGCTTTCTGCAGCGGTACTAGAAACCGAACAATTTTCCAGTTTCTTTAACGAGTGAGAATGATTTTACAAGCAGTTTTATATAAATTCCTGCAACTTCTGTTCGGCTCAGGACCGTCAGCTCCATAAGATTAAAAGGAGCAGTGCAAACCCTATACAAAAAGTAATATAAATATACAAAGGATTGAGAGAGAGAGAGAGAGAGAGAGAGAGAGAGAGAGAGAGAGAGATCGTATTCTTTCAAGATGTAGGCGATTATGGTTTTCCACATATTCTTTTTTTTTTAGTTTTTATGAATTCCATGCGTTCTTGGGAAAATATTCTTATAGTTTCTTTTTTACCTTCTCCATGGTTTTGGAATTCGGAGTTTTCCTTCTCTTAGATTGGCTGCTAATTAAGGCTAGATACTCCAGTCTACTCTGCTATTTAAATCATAGCCGGTGTTTGTGGGGGGAGGGGAGAACGATGAGTTGGATTCATACCTATGACAAAGGTATTTGTGTGAAAGTAAACGCAACAGCATTTGGTCACAATTTGAATCTGACCCGACGATTCAACTTTTCTGCGTTGATGACCGCTACACTATATGCACAAGGCTTTGATGTATGAATTACACTTGTATCGACACAAGAATATATTGTTTTCTGTTCTCAGTGAAAATCGAACTCTTTACTGTTAGCTTGAAACACGAGATTGTGAGAGGGTCTTTCATAAAAGGCTTTTGTGTCATGATGGCTTTGCTAATTAATGAAAGCATGTGACCTCGACACGATTTTTTAAATCTGTTATTCACTTGTATTACTCAAGAGATTTTCTGATCTTAGATTAAAGAGAGAAAAACTTACTGTCGCTTTTCGATTGATTTATTTTATTATTATCCCAAGGCAGTCACAAATGTCTAATTTCAATGTTAAAAAAGTACTGATTGGTTAAATCTGAAATCACGTGACAATAATAATGACGAATGAGCGAGAATGAGAAAAGAAAATAAAGGAAGAGAAAATTGGCAAAAAAAAAGTTAAGTAAAAAAGAGAGGAAGGAAAAAAATGAAAGAAAAAAAAGTAAAGATTGCTGGTGAAGGAGAAAATAAGAAAGGAAATAGGAATATTGAAAAGAAAAAAGTAAAGAAGAAAGGAGTGCAAACTGAAAAGAAAACCAAAAGGAGAAAGAAAGAAAGAAAGAAAGAGAGAGAGAGAAGAGAGAGAGAGAGAGAAAGACTGAGGTGGAAAGAAGAAGAAGAAGAAGAAGAAGAAGAAGAAGAAGAAGAAGAAGAAGAAGAAGAAGAAGAAGAAGATAAAATGGTTAGAAGTAATAGATGACAAAAAAAGAAAGGATAAATAAAAGTGGGGAGGTGATGAAAGAGATAAACTAGAAATAACAAGAAAAAGAAAGAAAGAAACAAGTAAGGGAAAATAGAAAAGTGGAAATTAATGTGAACAGAGATAGATAGACAGATGCAGAGAGAGAGAGAGAGAGAGAGAGAGAGAGAGAGAGAGAGAGAGAGAGAGAGAGAGAGAAATAGGGGAGAGAGGGGCGAGACCGAGAAAAAGAAAGAAGGAGAAAGAGAGAAAATGAGAAAGTAGGAGAGAAGAATAAAAGACAAAATGCTAAAAAACGAAAGAAATTTCAGAAAATAATAGAAAAAAAAAGGAAAAACAGAAATAATGAGAAATTTACATAAAAAATAGCGATAGATAGAAAGATATATAGATAGATAAATATATATATATATATATAGAGAGAGAGAGGGTGAGAAAGAATATTGGAAAGAGAACGAGAGTGAAAAAAGAAAGAAATGATAGATAAAAGACAAAATAGTAAAAGAAAGTATTCCGCGAAGATAAAAGATAAGCAGAAATAGAAAAAAGATACCCTAAGATATATATATATATATATATATATATATATATATATATATATATATATATATATATATATATATATATATATATATATATATATATATATATATATATATATATATATATATATATATATATATATATATATATATATATATATATATATATATATATATATATATATATATATATATATATATATATATATATATATATATATATATATATATATATATATATATATATATATATAGATAGATAGATAGATAATATATAGATAGGTATTAAAATGCTGTATACTTGTTCAGTAAAAATATTCCCAGCACAAAGATACATGTACTGGAAAAAAACTATCGGCAGATATTGTCAGATAGATAAATATGAACAGACTGTGATAGATAGATAGATAGATAGATAGATAGATAGATAGATAGATAGATAGATAGATAGATAGATAGATATGAACAAACTGTGATAGATAGATAGATAGATAGATAGATAGATAGATATGAACAAACTGTGATAGATAGATAGATAGATATGAACAAACTGTGATAGATAGATAGATAGATAGATAGATAGATAGATAGATATGAACAGCCTATGATAGATAGATAGATAGATAGATAGATAGATAGATATGAACAAACTGTGATAGATAGATAGATATGAACAAACTGTGATAGATAGATAGATATGAACAGACTGTAGATAGACAAACTTCAATTGCAATTATATACTAGCATCGACAGATAGCTAGCTAACTAGCAAGCTAGATAGATAAAGAAGAAGAGGGAAAAGAGGAGAGAGATAGCAAATGAAGAAGAAAAGAAAGATTTAAGCTAATCAAAACTGATGAACTATATTACCATTTTCTGTGACCTATCTAAGTCAGTGATGTCCTTGCAATTGAAGAATTCCCGTTACAATACCATTTGCCACACTGATGTCTAGCAATTTCTCACGACCCTAAAAAAAAAATTCATGAAATCAAGAAGAAAACAAAAATTAAAAAAATATTCTCTTGAAAAAGTTTAAAGCGAACGGATTATTTTGGCCTGGGGCAATATTAAGATGAAAAGTGTTTCGAGATCAGGGGAAAATGAACTTACTATGTTTTTTAGTTGTTTTTTTTTTATACATCCATCTTCAGTTGAGAGTGTTTCATTTTCGTCCTTTATTTTTGGCTTTGCTTGAGGCATTTAACTATTTTAGGTTTCATTCCCGCCAAAACCATTGTTTATCGTTTATATTAACTGCTCTTTTCGCTGATTGGTTGCAGCAACTTTTGGAACGTTCACTGCGTGTTTAATGTATTTTTTTCCAATTTAAATACTGCTGCTATAAAGCTACACGAAGGATGGTGTTTTTTTAAATGCTCAATACACACGAATAATCAGAAAATTCAGAAAGGAAATATTTTAGTAGCATGAAAAGGAAATACATCTGTAAAGTATTATCGACGAAGAGAAGCTTTACTCACATCGCACAATACATACACACACACGCACACACACACACACACACACACACACAGTGCGATGGATAAATTGTCGTCTAAATTTCGGAAAAATGAAAAATAACACTGACATCTCATTTTAACAGATACATTTACTAAAATTACACAAAAATATTTTGAAATACTAAAGAGGAAATTTGTTCAATAAAATCGCTATTGGTTTCAAACACGCCCTTCAGACGACTTCGGAATCTCATTCAACTCTTCTGGACGGTCTCCTTGTTTAAGTTGGTGAATGTTGACATAATCCTTGCCTTCATTCAGTTCATCTTTGGTGTTGTAAGGAGTTTTGTTGGTTTCTCACTCAAGTGCGTCCACGCATAATAATCAAGGGGGCGTTGAAAGACTGAGAAATTAGGTGTCCAGATGTAAGGGGTGATGTGGCCGAAGAAATTGTCTGATAGCCATCACTAGGTTCTGCTTTTGTGGCATGCTACAGAATCCTGTTGCCAGACAGTCTAGCCATCCACTTGACTTTTTTTCCCACAGACGGTGCCCAACTTATTCTAATATACTCTGCAATCGATAAAATCAAAAACAAACAACGCGCATGCGCGAAATTTAAAAAAAAAATCGACAATTTACCCATCGCACTTTGTATATAAATCACCTACAAACTTTTGTTTAATAGATATTGAATAGTATAACCTCATGTCAATGAACTTGTCTGACTTTTTTTGTTAACCTGATGAATATTCATTAGCACTCCTATAACTAAAAATTATGAATAACCAATAACATTTTTGCTCTTGTATATAAATACTTGTCAGAAAATAAAATCATTTTCCTTGATAAGTTTCCTCGGATGACGAAATACGTCGGCTATGGTAAATTTTCCTTTTGTCTTTATTCAATATATAAGAATATAAGAAATGTTGATATTCTCTAATGCAATTATTGAACCGCAAATCGAGATAAAAATATCTATGAGCGTCGTTGTTCATCTCGTCGAAATTTGAAAAATGTCTTCCTCTTTTCATTCGAGAAAAACGTGAATTATCTTTGGAAAAAAAACTACACTAGGTTAATTCGAATAATTTATTTTATTTTATTTTTTTTAATGAAAACTGATTTTATTAAGAAAAGAAAAAATTGTACAAAGCTTCTTGTATTTGAGCATAATGAGGATTTCAATTGATCTTTTTTTGTTTTCCATTCATCTTTTTTTACTTCCCACCTTGTAATATTCTTTTTCTAAGAAGACATCTTCATAGTATTGCACGAAAAGATTAATCCCGTTGAAAACTTTAAAAAAGTCGAGGAGTTTAGAATTAATGGCTTTATTTGAATTTTTTCGATATTTAGTTACAAATGTTGGATTGACCAAAAAATGCAATTCTATTTATTAAGTACAAAATGTGCAAAAAAAATTGGAAATTATTTTCGTCTGGATTTCTCGGATGAGGAGTTATCATTATTTACATCATTGACATTACGGACTATTGTCCTCATCTTTGTCGTTATTATCACCTGATCGCTTTCTGTTTAAATTTCTGGGATGATGGGATATCCTTATTTACATTCGGACTAATATCAGCATATTTGGGGTTATTATTACATGATTGTTTTCTGCCTGAGTTTCTGGGATGAAGATTTATCATTATTTTCATTGCGGACGATTATCCTCATCTTTCTTGTTATAATCACCTAATTGCCTTAATTTCTGAGATGAGGAATTATTATGATTTATATTATTTGCATTACAGACGGTTGCCTTCATCTTTGTTATTACCATCTGATCGCCTTCTGTCTGGATTTCTGGCTTGAGTAGTTATCATTATTTACATTCAGACTAATGTCCTCATCTTTGTTGTTATTATCATCGTTGTTTTTATAACCACCGCGTTTCAATCGTTGTGCTCTCTGACCTTTTTCAGGTATCTTTTGATCTGTGCCTTTTTTAATCCGATGAAATTCAGTGTCCGCTTTCCATAGTTTTACTTCGAAATTCCTTGATTGACAAACACCTGAAGAAGGTGTGCAGGCATAACGGCCGAAACCATGTGATATTAAATAAAATGAAGATATTAATTTAGATAATAATAATTTTCAACATTAATTATTTATTTTTTCATATATTCTCTAACACTCAGTTATTCCATTATCTATGTTGATGACACAACTATCGGCTTTTGTATTAAGGGTAAGTCTGATCGGTTCGATAAGGTTAAATTGGCAGCTGATCTCGAAAAATGACCTACAGTCTGCTGTTAACTGGTGCAAGGAATAGCCTGTTAATGTCTTCAAAACGAAACTGGGCTCTTTTAATAATCAGAGCGAATTCTATTGCCTTCTATCAGGATAGTTGATGCTAACCCCCCAGGAGAGTGATTCATTACGCTTTCTTGGGCTATTGTTTTCCGCTGACATGAAGTTGAACGATTATACTGAATTAATGTCTTGCCTGCTGCTAGGGAATTTGATTCTCTGTGCCGTGTTAGACATTTTTTTCTCGCTAGAACCTATCTTGCATATTTATAAATCTACCATTTTTCCTAGCTTTGAATATTGTTGCCACATCTGGTCTGGTGGTTCTGAGATATATTTCGAGATTCTTGATAAAATCAAAAGAATCTGCAATGTTATTAGTCCTGACCTGACCTCTCGGCTTCAGTCACTATCCCACCGCCGTAACGTGGTTTCTCTGCCCCTTTTCTGTAAATAGTTTCATGGTAATTGTTCTGATAAACTTTCTCTGTGGTACATAATCTTTATGAAGCCAAGCCCAGTACTAGACCGCCGACAAGGTCTAATCATTTTACACTTGAAATGACTAGATGTAACCGTACGTTCTATGCTAATAGTTTCTTCTGTCGCACTTCTCGCTTGTGGGACTAGCTTGCGGTCGGTTGCTTTACAGCCAAGTTTGATCTTCAAAAAATTAAATATAATGTCAATCGTTATCTTTTGCCTTCTTAATTCTTGTTCTTTTATTGTTCATTCTGCTTAATAAAGTTTTTTTTCCAGATATTCTCTAACACTCAGTTACCCCTTGCGTCTTAGTAGCTTTACTAAGAGCTATAAAAGGCAGGAAAAGACAAGTGGTCACGTAACTCCCCATACTTGATTATTATGTGTGGGGGTCAGCTGAGCGAGAGATAATCAAAACTCTTTGTAACACGATAGATGAACTGAAGGCAAAAAATATGGCAGAATTCACCAACTTAAAGAAGTACAGAAGAGTTGCAGGTGATTCCGAAGTTCTCTGGAGGCCATGGCTGAAGCCAATGGCAAATTTATTGAATAAATTTACTCTTTAGTATTTCAAGATATTTTTGTGTAATTTGTGTAAATATATCTGTTAAAATGTATGTTATTTTCGTTTTTACGTAATTTAAACGACAATTTATCCATCGCTCCCTGTATATAGAAGCAGTACTCCATTTTTAGATCTGATCTAGCCCTTGTAAAGATAAAGGATGGCAAAAGCTTAACTCTAAAGTTTGTTGATGGAAAAAAAGATTAGAAAAGATTTAATAAAAGAAAGCAGTTCTCAAATGATAAGCCGAATCCATGAATAAAATTCAGGAATATTTCTGGTGAAGATTAAACCGGATATAAATTTGGTAAAACTGAATAAAACCCATTCAAATAAATTTTATCTATTTACTCTTTCTTAATGCTTGTATCGGGATGACATGAGCCAGTTTTCTTGATAAGTTTGGAAGTTGGGAGCATATGGATCATATATATTTACTTTTTATACTATCTGCTAATTTACCTTATACAGGAGGTCCAATAACAAAGCAACAAATTTATTATCCCTGTTTTATCTTTCAGGAATAATTGACCTTGAATAACCGTGAATAAATTTCTTGAATATTCATGAAGTTGAATAATAATTCAACTTTCGCGTAATTAATTAACTCTGATCGGATGTTTTATGACGGTTAACTACTGCTCGATCTTGTGATTCGTCATTTAAAGGATATTTCATCTTTCGTTTTGCCCTTCTCGTTTGGCTAAACAACTCACTGATTTTGAGCGTCAAGTTAACATACATTTCAAAGAAGAACATCCAAGTGCAGAAATTCTTCCTGAATTTTTTAGTCTCTTCAGTCGTCAACCATTTTCAACGGTTGTCTCACGTCTTTCTGAATTTACCACTTTTTTGATTTTTCTGAGAATGGCTACATGATTCCAGACAAGGAAATTCTGTGAAGAAATCTTAATAACCTAAATTGGGTGATTCATCAGTGTCATAAATCTGGGGGAAACTTACTATTAATTGGTAGCTGGACCCCCAAAAAGTGAGCTCTTGTTTCACTATTTCTACTACTCTGTCCCATGCTAGTGTTGCTACTACTGTAGACCATGTAGAATTTATGACGGAACCACAGCTCTTTTCCTACAGATGAAACATTACTCGCCTCTTACGACTCGGTTGCTATTTTCATGGAAAATGTTCAGATGAGC